TACCCTCGCTGGACTCTCTCCAATTTGTCCACATCCTTTCTGTAGTGGGGGGCCCAAAACTGGAGGCAATACTCCAGATGTGGCGTCACCAGTGCTGAATAAAGAGGAATAATCACTTCCCTCAATCTGCTAACAGTGCTCCTACTAAAGCATATCTGACCCTTCCACCAGGAGTGACCCCTCCTTCCAAGTCACTCATTTTCTTCCCTTCAAATGCTAACAAAAAGAAACCTCTCTACAATTAACAATAGGTTATTTTTTAAATAATGGTCTGGATCGCAGACCTCCACTTGCCTCACTTGCAAGATAATCACCACAATCCCAACTGTGGCATCAGTTTGTGCTAACCACCCCACACTTTGTGCTGCAACGTGTGCTGGCTGATGTCCTAAGGTAGAAACACCTTCATAATTTGTTGAGGGATGAAATGACAACCTGCTCGTGGTCTCTCCTCCTATGTGCATAAGCACAATGAATGTCATTAAATTGGTGATCAAATGTCCCAAAGAGGCCTACAGGTCAGCAAAGCAATGGCAAAAATGGCCCCTTCCAAGTCAAACCAGACACCGGCCCTTCACTGCATATAATGCAGTTAAATATCAAGGGTTTATCCAGCACAAAATGCAACTACCTCAGAAAGATCCTATGAACTGACAAAACTGACTGGAGGAAATGTAAGTTGAGTGAAAAACCCATCACTCCAAGATCAACAGATAGACCCGTCTTAGCAGTCTTCCATCCAAACAAGGCCTGGCAACCTATGCCAAAGGTGATGTGAAGAACCCTATACAGGTACTCCCTAACACAACCTCTAATTCCATCGCCATCCAGGTCAGCGACTTGACGGTAGTGAACGTCTATAAACCTCCATTAACAAACTAGTCCTCTCACAGTGCTTCCACCTTCAAGCCATCCCACCATCACGTAGGCGACTTCAACAGCCACCACAATTTGTGGGGCTATGACACCAATGATTGCACAGGAGAAAAATTGTCATCACGGGCAGTGGCAGAAGACCTTTGCCTGCTCTACAATGCTAAGGAGCATGGCACTTTTAGGTCAGCACACTGACAAAATGCTATATGCCTGACCTTTGTTTTGTGTTGCAAGAGAACAACAGCCACCTTTTGCCATCAACAAGGCTAGTGACAACTTTCCCAACAGCCAACACAGACCCCTTGTGATTCAGGTCAGCCTCCAGATCCTGCTATTTTGAAGCCTCAGTGAAACTTTGAGAAAGCAGTATGTCCAAAATACGGCAGACAGAGACATTTGTGAAGTGGATCCCTCCGACCCCTGCCAATTATCACCTCATTAGCCTAATAACAGTTGCCAAAGCCAATATTCCCAGGTGATACAGAAAGGCTTTCACCACCTGCTGGACATTAGAGAGCAAAGAACTGCTTTGGCAGTATAAGGCAAAAGGAAAACTGAATACGGCAAAAGCCTTGAGCCTTTCCCTGCAGCCATATTATGAGAGCAGCAGCCATGAGCCAAGAAGCTGAAAGTCACATCCTCACATTCCTTCTAAATTCTATCAAAACAATGTAATATCAGGCTGGTAAGAAGGCACCCTTGCTAATAGCGCCCACCATCACCAGATAAGCAAGGAATTTCTTAAGATGTTTAAAGAAAACTTTGCTTGATAGCACTCTGTCTGGCAAGGAATCACTTCTCAATAGTTCTGATTGTAAAACCCATACTTCTATTGTTTTGCCTTTATGGTCCCTACTTTTCTATTGTTTATCTGTATGGTCTCTGTCTGGTTCTTTGATTGTTTCCATCTGTTGCATAATTAATTTTGCTCAGTGTAAATCAGCTATGGTGGTGGGGTATGATTAATTAAATAATTGTTTCATAATGGGTTAGGATTGTTGAAAATTACCTTTTTATAGTACTTTGGTTAAGGTACAGCTAAGCAGGATTCGTTTCACTATATAAAACTGGGGTCCAAAAGAAAGCTCTTTGGAACCAACTCCAGGACACAGCCCCAAGATCAGAGCTGCCAGACCGCAACACTCTGCCAATCAAGCCATGCAGAAACTGGAGTCCTAGGATGACCTGATCCTGACTGGCCAGCAGGAAAAGTTCATCTGCCTTATTGGGAGTGGTGAGCATTGTATGCTTAGCGTGTGCATTCTGTTTTGGTAATTGTTAATAAATAGAGGTTAAGGATATTACTGTGTAAGGCTCTTTCACTGGTAAAAAGATCCTGCAAACCCGCAGAAGAGTACACCCTGAGCCCTAGGGATTGGATATGGGTAGGTGCCTTTCCCCCAGAACCCTAGGAACTGGGAAAGGGTGGGGGTGCCTAAATCAACCAGATTATGCCTTGAGCCCTAGGAACTGGGTAAAAGTGGGTGCCCTGGAAAGTGTGGGTATCAGTGTCTGATCTTTATAAGGGAACAACTTTTACCACATACTAAGCCTACATGTAGCTAATGTTTGGCTGAAGAAGATGATGGTTTTAACAGAGTTAAACATAACATGAAGAAAAGTAGATAATGTGATGATAGTTACATTATATTTGAATTTTCGTGTTTCATTATTACTGAGGAAAGTCCATAGCCAAAACATACCACTTGTTTTCAGGGGTTAGTAAATGCAAGCATGAGGCCAAGGAAACTACAGAGACATTTAGAAACTGAACACCCAGAATTCAAAAAACAAGAGCAGCTATTTTTCTTTTGGAAACAAGAAGAATTAAAGCTTGGGGGAGTGACAGGGATGAGAGAAGTCATGTGTAAAGAAGCAACTGTTCCACAAAAATGCTTTAAATGATCTTGTGTTGTGGCCAGGTGAATTGCAGAAGGTAAATCTGCACACACCATTTACCAGACAATTCAACTTCCAGCAGCAATAGACATGTAGAATTATGACTGGGGAACAAGTAGCCATGGTACTGATAACCATTTTTATGTCAAATAATACCATCTACCAACACAATGATTATCTTGCAGAAAACATCCAGAAGCAGTTGACAAAACAAGTTAAGAAGAGGCAATAGGGTGCACTGCAGCTTGATGAATTCACAGACATAGCCAACATGGCTCAGCTTCTGTTACATATGACATTTGTCAAAGCAGGTATAATAGTTGAAGACTTATTTTGCAAAGAAATCCTAAGCTGAACAACTAGTGTGGAAATTTTCAAGATCCTTGATTAATTCATACTGGTTGAAGATCTTAACTGGGCTACATGTGCTGGGCTGTGCACTGATGGGGCAGGACCATGATCCAAAAGAAGAGTGGGACATGCAGGACAAATAAAGTTGCAAAACCATCTGAACTATAGTGTCCTGAACTCTTGAATCTAGTATCCTAAGTCAATTAAAAAAAAAAGAAAAGGAAAAAAACCCACTGTACTTGGTTGTAGGGAGCCACCAAGTTTTAAAACATCTGTATGGGAGCCATAGCACTAAAAAGTTTGGGAACCACAGCGCTAAACATTTAGAGCCAATCCTCCATTATCTCCACGGTTAAGAAAGCGTTCCCCCCAAAGCAGTCATTCTTTGCTGGCCCAGGATAACAACATCCCAAATTTCATCCCAAACGTACGTTTATTTCATGATAGCACATGATTGCCCACAATCATGCAAAGACCCATAAGCATCTAACTTAATGCAAACACATATATGTATTTAACTATATAGTCCTGTTGCCTTTAATGGAATTATGTATACCAGCAAAAAACAACAAGGAGTCTGGTGGCACCTTAAAGACTAACAGATTTATTTGGGCATAAGCTTTCGTGGGTAAAAACCTCACTTCTTCAGATGCACAGAGTGAAAGTTACAGATGCAAACATTATATACTGACACATGAAGAGCAGGGAGTTACTTCGCAAGTGGAGAACCAGTGTTGACAGGGCCAATTCAATCAGGGTGGATGTAGTCCACTCCCAATAATAGATGAGGAGGTGTCAATTCCAGGAGAGGAAAAGCTGCTTCTGTAATGAGCCAGCCACTCTCAGTCCCTATTCAAGCCCGATTAATGGTGTTAAATTTACAAATGATGAGGTCCACGGACCCCTGGGGGTCCCCAAGGGTAACCCTGGGGGTCTGCTAGCCCCGCTGATCAACTCCTCCCCGTCCCTCCCAGCGCCTCCTTCATGCCAGGAAACAGCTGTTCCCCAGCGTGAAGGAGGTGCTCGGAGGGTGGAGGAGGAGCAGAGAACCTGGGTCCACGCCACTCCCGGAAGCGGCCAACACGTCCCTGTGGCCCGGGGGAACAGAGAAGGGGGTCTCCGTGTGCTGCCCCCAGCCCGAGCACTGGCTCTGCAACTCCCATTGGCCGGAAACTGCGGCCAATTGGAGTCGCGGGGGCAGTGCCTGCAGGCAGAGGCAGCACATGGAGACCTCCTGGCCCCCCACCTAGGAGCAGCTGCCAGAGGGATGTGCCAATCGCTTTCGGGAGCCGCCCAAGGTAAGTGCCACTTGCCTCACCCCCTCCTCCATCCCAACCCCTTCCCCAGCCCAGAGCCCTCACTGCGTACCCAAACTCCCAGCCCAGAGCCCGCACCAAACTCCCAGCCCAGAGCCAGCTCCCCGCACCAAACTCCTTCCCAGAGCCTGAACCCCAACCTGGTGAAAGAGAGTGAAGGTGGGGGACAGCGAGCAACGGGGGTGTGTGGAGTGAATGGGGGCATAGCCTAGGTGAAGGGGGCAGGGCAAGGGCTGAGCAGGGAGGAAATTGCGGGGTCCCTGAAAAATTTTAAATGGGGGTCCTTGGGTTGCTAAAGTTTGAGAACCACTGATGTATATGATTAAGGTGCGTAAGTCTTTGCAGGATTAAGGTTCATGCTAGGTTCAGTTAATTTTATTTTGAAGTAGTCTCAGAAATTTTAAAAAGCAACACATCTAAACATAGCACTAAGATGGTAAAATGTCAAACAGTGATAACAGTGACTTGAAGTAGAGCCCTATGTTGCTCCAACACATGTACATCCCATCAACACAAGTTAGTCCAATAAAAGATATTGTGTCTCTTTCAAACATTTACCTCATACAAAACAGTTGTATTCCCATGCAGGAGAGGTGCATAACAAACGTAGGAATGGCCAACTACCCAGCCTAAGTCAGAAGCTGCCCACCATACCTAAAATAAAATAAAAATTGAATTCAGTTTTTTTGTTTTTTAAAGGAGTTCCAAAAAGTTTTAATACACGCAACTACAATTTAAACAGTACTTACCTCTCCAGGTCTGAGTCCATATATAGCTGACATTGTCCAGTTCAACATAACCGCATAGCCACCTGTTGGTCTAACAACACCCTAAGTGAGAAGTAATTTAAAATTAAGATCACTTAAAAGGCAAACACACATTAAATCTCTATTAAAAAAATCTCATTACTATAAATTAGCTAGAATATTTAAAGTTGTCTAACTTCAACTTTGACATCCTTGCCACATCAGAATAATATAACAGCCCAATCCTACAAATATTTGCTCATACAAGTAGTCCCATTGAAGAAAGGCCAAGTACAGATTAAAATTAACTTTTGCATTATTACCTGGAGGATCAGTTCAAAAGACAGAACAAAAAATTAGATCTGATCTCAATTATTTACAGAACACAACCATCACCCAGCTAAAATCCTCTCTTTAAAATCAGTTTTCCACACATTTACAAACAAAAGTTATAAAAATTTAAAATAAAAGAAAATGTAATGCAAGTATGTACAGAAATTAATCCTCTCCTTCTCTTCAGTAACAGAACATAAGCACCATGCTATGGAATATTATATATATATATTTTGCTGTCAACAGCATCTTGCACAGTCAGTTACGTTGAGAACTAGAGCTGATTGAGAAATTTCCAACCACACAGGCTTTCACTGGAAAATGCTGATTCCTTGAGCCCAGAATGTTTCACAAAAATATACTAGCCTGACAGATTGGCTATCCGGCTGCTATTTCACCAGTGCTGTACAGCATAGGGCAGAAGAAAAACTGACAAGAATCACGATCAATTTCATACACTAGTGGCAGAGTCCTGGGGAGCCTATTTCATTTTGGAAACATCATGTATTGAAGTTTTCAAAGCAAAAATTTTAAATAGAATGTGTGGGTTGCAGGAAATTTTGAAAAAAAGGTTTTATTCCGGTCTGAATCAAAACTAAATCAAATTTCAAAAAGTGGAAATTTTCCCCTAACTGGAAATTGTGAGTTTTGGCCAACTCTATTGACATCTAAAAGTTGCTTCTGGGATGCAGTTAGCACAGCAGTTGCTAGAAATTTTGGAAGAGTGGGGATCACAGGACCTATGGGCACCTACTTATATAAGCTTAGCTGTAATACCCCACAAATAACGTTGCCATTTCACCTAAGTACTTTATTGTAATTCTCCAAAAGAAGCATCATGCATTTGACTCCTCTGTGCTTTGATTAACTGGATTGCTATCTGTTTGTGAAAAGCTCCTAGTCACTGAGAGTAGGTAGCGTTCCTAGCCTTTTTAGTTGGATTTCACCTCAAAATGAATAGGCACCTGGAAATCCTTTCCCCCCCCCCAAACCTATGTCCTTTCATGCCAGTCATTGCCTCTATTTTAAGATTTTCTTTTCTGTTCTCTGCCCCCATTTCTCCATCTTATTTGGTTTTCTTCTTGTTGTGCAATTGTATTTTTAGCTATTTATCTCAGGTTCTGTTCACTCAATATTTTCCTCCACCTATCAGGCCATCCATTATGTATTCCACTGACCACACCCAGCCACCAGCACTACACAGCTCTCTTTCCAACTTGTTACGATATAGAAAAGTTTTTGCAGTACCAGAATGGGGTAAGTGAAAGGGATGGAAAAAGCACATAGCTGGCACCTCTGGACCCAGATTTCTCACTGACATGCCCTTACCCTACTCCCACCCATATCCCACTCCCTAGAATTGGTAAATCAAAAACAGTTTAGAGTTAAGTGTCATGATATTAAGTATCAGAGGGGTAGCCGTATTAGTCTGGATCTGTAAAAAGCGAAAAAGAGTCCTGTGGCACCTTACAGACTAACAGATGTATTGGAGCATAAGCTTTCGTGGGTGAATACCCACTTCGTCAGATGAATGTAGTGGAAATTTCCAGAGGCAGGTATAAATATGCAGGCAAGAATCAGTGTAGAGATAGCGAGGTTAGTTCAATCAGGGAGGATGAGGCCCTCTTCTAGCAGTTAAGGTGTGAACACCAAGGGAGGAGAAATGTCTCATTGAAAGGTGACATAAGGCCAGAAAGAGTTAATTAACTCACAGACTGACAGATATTAAGTGTCTGTTTTCCACAAAGATATAATGGGCTTTCCACTTAGACAGTCTTTTAGATGCTTCCTCCACCCTCCCCCGGCTCTCCCATGAGGGGAGACCTTTTTACTGTGTTTGAGAAGACACTTAAATCTGCATCATATGTGATTAAATGGAGTATTGCTTCAGACATTTTACTGAAGAAATACTCCTTTCCTTTGCGGTAAGAAAGTTCTAACACAAACCCTATGGGCTACTGCTTTAGTAGTGTACAGTTTCAGACTGATCTTAGCACGAGTCAGCCAACAGGCAAAGGTGAAACAGGTTTGACATTTAATCTTAAAATAATGAGGGACAGCAGACAAAATGTAAAATTTTCATTAATTCTTGGATATCTTAAGTTTTTGGCTAAAGTTCCTGGGGGTTGGGTTGGGGGAAATTGGAAAAAATATACAAATGAACACAGGAAAAAATGTTAATATAGCAATAAAGTAGCTAAGAAAAAAGTTTGGGGCATTCTGTGTTCTGCTCAGCATATCAGAATTCTTCTAAAGATAGATAACTGACTGAATTTGAAAAGCTAAAATCTTCAAAGCATATGTTGCCTTAGTTGTCTAACCTTATTCAATCTCAACTTCCTCCATTTAAAAAAAAAAAGAGCATATGAAGATGGAACTAGTCAACATTACACCTGATTCCAGTTAAAATTCATGGACTATTATCTGATCCTCCTTTATTCAGTATAAAATAAACAAGTGATCACAAAGTAAACACTGTTGACCAACCTATCACTAAATTATTATATAAACATATCACACTGCTAATATAGAGGGTGCATACATAGATAAGAAATATGTCCCTTCTCCTAAAGAATTTATATTAAACAAACATTTAGATTAGAATGCATTTTATTTTATGTCATTCACATTCAGATCCACTAATATGATTTATTGGAAGACAATGAACTTTAAATCTTGAAAAGTTAAAGTAATGAAATGCGAGTAAATGAGATCAAAGCAGTTCTAACAATGCTTATCATTCACTGAGGTGAGCTTTGGCAAACATTTTCAGCCTTTCAATTAAATGCTCTCTGATATGGAACAGAAAATAGTCTGGTCACAGATATTTATACTAAAGATAGTACCCTACCTTGGGCAAGCCAGTCGTTCCTGATGTATAAAGAATGTAAAGTGGATGATCTGAACGAACAGCAACACAATCATGAGGCTTGGCTTTTGCTATTTCTTCATCCCAATCAAGGTCACGACCTGAGACTAGAGGAACAGTTCCCTATACACCAAGAAACACGGAAATATTCAATGAAATTTAATCAGATGGAATAAAAGACAGTGGCTCAAAAGATATTCAGCATCCAGTCTCCCATATGGATACCTTGAACAAAGCTAGTATACCTAATCTCTCAGACACAGAAGCTCTACTAGCTAATTAAAAGTTATTTAAATCTCATGACACGAAAGATCTCAATTAAAATGCACAGCAAAGCATATTTGATTAAAAAAAGAAAAAAAAGGACACCAAGACAACACGTAAAAAGTTAATAAGCAAGAACAACCATAAGTTTACCAAGTGAGGTCGACTGTATATGAGAACTTTCTCAGGTTGGTGCTGTATCATCTCCAGTGCTCTTTCTAGAAGCGGCATGTATTCCACTCTCCTTCCTGGTTCTATCCCAAAAGTTGCAGTTACAACAAGTTTGGGCTAAAGTAAAGAGGATCATAGAATATAAAAAATGTTTGCCATAAAATTATTCAGTAAATAAAGCTCTTACACACAATACACACATTTACTTCATTTCTAAGAGAACATTGTACTCTTCACACATACAAGTTTGTATATTTTTTTAAATGATTGTTTAGATGATGTACTCTTCATTTACACTGGGAGTGAGAACATTAAACTGCACAAATTAAAGTCAGGGCACCTTTGACTTTACAACAATATACAAAATGTTTTGACATAACTTCCAAGACCCTGCCTCCAAAAATTAACTAAATCAAATTTATATTAGTCCTATTCCAAGAAGTAAAAGTCAACTAATAGTCAGACTCATCTTATTTAGAACAGAACCAATCTTCTCTCCTCTGAAAAACTATAAGCACAACAAGAGTGCTCTTAGTTTGTACTGTGCAATCTCACAATCTGACCAAGCTAGTTTATTGTGTATATTACCAGAAATCTCATGATGGAGACAGTGGCCCCAACTCTATAGTTACGGATGCGTTGAGCTTTGAACCTAGAATGGGAATTGAATAGCTTTCTTATGTCTGAATAATACAGTGTACCATCTCCAAATGTGTTAGTAAAGGAAATTCATTAATTAGTTTGAGTTAAAAAAATTAAAAATCTTTTTTAAATGAGCTTTTTAAAAAAAGTAAGTTCAGCATTTTGTCATCTCTCTCTTTTTGACCAGAATAACCTCAACAACAGAATAAGTCCTGCTTTCTGATGTTGAGGTGAGAGGGATATGCAAACCCTCTTCCCTCTGAAATCCCCATTTACTACCTTCAGTGTAGGCTACACACATTCCTGCTTGTCCCCAATGCATCCCATCTTGCCTTCCTACTGTCCAATTTGTCTCTGGACTTTCACAGATAATCAAGGTTTTTAAAATTGAATAAAATCAATTTTCTTTAAAAAAATCAAAATTTGAAAGTTTCATAACCTTCAAGCTTACTTATATGCTGATACTTTATTTTTTTAAATATTTATGCAATGTGTTATTATGTATGTGTTTGTAATATTTCTTACACAAACGGCAGCGTTAGTACAGACAGGGCATCAGACAGCACCAGTGCTTTAACCATCTTGTCATCCATATCTGCTCTCAGCCAGATTAAATGAAACAATGATTGAAATCCAGCATCTGTTCTACCATATTTCAAAAGCTTCAATTTTCTTCTTGTCAGTAGCATTAGTTTCCCAGAATTCACATCCATAAGTTGCTATGAGAAAAATAAAAAGCTTATTTTTTTCGTAATGACTTATGGATGGGATTCCTTGGAAACTAATACTGCTGACAAGAAGAAAACTAAAGTCTTTAAAATGTGGTGCTAGCAAAGACACTTGTGCATCTCCTGGATGGAAGAGAACAAGTGCTTATTTTAAAAATATTACTGAAGAGAAGTGGAATCTGCTCTCAGAAATCAACAGGCACAAACTTATGTACTTTGGTCACATCAGGCATAGAAATAGAAATAATGCAAGGAAGTTATTATGGAAGGAATGGTGTTGGGTCATCATAATAGGGGATGACCAGCAAGGAGATGGATGGGTAGATGGTATGTAGCAGATCATTGGGAAGTCAGCTGCTGAGTGTGCAAAGTTAGAATGTCTCAAAAAGGCTTCTGAAAATTCTATGCTGTCACCACTATTCAGACATAAATAAACGGACTTTACTACTGCTACTACTATCCGAGCTACACTGAGCACTTTTACCATAAGACTTGTGATTATTTGTTGTTCTGGAGTAAAGTTGTCACATGAGCATGTCAGCTTTATTATTTTTAGTAAGTTTCTAGCCCTCATGGATGTGAAGAACAGCATGAAAACATGAATAGAGAATGATCTAAAGGATTAGAAAACAGAAGACCAATGAACAGAACCCTCACATTAAGAAGCTCATGATTTTGTGGATCTGACTCGTAATTTGGGACTGGCAATACTACACGCTCTCTGTTGCTTCCACTAGTGGAGCTGCATTGGTGGTAGTGCAATGACGGGAAATTTTAAGGGCGGGGGGACAGGAGGGAAGACTAATGTTTACATAGTTTTACTAGCCGGACTAGCTGCCACGGTGTGGGCATATAATCCATATGAGATAGGACTGAAGAGGAGTTGCAGTCAGGTATTCTGTAACATTCTACATAAAAGCAGATAGATCATATTTAAGGATATGATTTTTTCATGGAGATTGCAGAAGTCACAGAATCCATGAGGCCTCTGTGACTTCAGCTCGTAGCGGCTGAGAGCTGCAGGGTCCCCCCGCCACCAGCAGTGGCTGGGAGTTGTGGGTACCCACACTGCCTGAGGTGGCAGGGGCCCCCTGCAGCTCCAAGCCATCACGGGCAGCAGGGACCGACCCCGCAGCTCCTGGCCGCTGCAGGTAGCGGGGGGGACCCCAAAGCTCCCAGCCACCACAGGTGGCAGAGACCCCCTGGAGCTCTGAGTCAGGGCCCCTGCAGCTGCCCGGCCGCTGCAGGCAGTGTGGAAACTCTGTAGCTCCCCACTTTGTCACAGATGTTTTTAGTAAAAGTCGCGAACATGCCAAGGGCTCCAATTAATTTTTCTTTATTGCCCATGACCTGTCTGGACTTTTACTAAAAGTATCTGTGACAAAATCTTAGCCTTAATCATACTATAAGAGTGGGTAATAAAGGTATATACAGTTGCTTTTAAAATCTATGGAAGAGTGGACTTTTTAAAAAACATGTATTACAAAAATAAATAAATAGTTCTTTAAACATAAGATTGGGCTGCCATTATTCTGAGGCAACCATATCTCTTAAGTGCCAGGCTCACCAACTTAGTGCCTAATCACACAAATGGTCTGATCATCATGATGATAATCAGGAGTAGCCATTGATAGATATATCTGTGTGCAAGAACAGTATCTTGCTCAGAATAAATCGGGTCCCTTATTTTTGTTTTTTCCACCAAAAACCTCTGGAAAATTCCTGGATTTTGAAAAATCCAGTATTTGTATTTTTCCGGTTTCTACTCTGACTTTGTCCCGGCTTGAATTCTCTGGACACGGCTCCCTCCTCGGAGACCCCACAGACCTCCTCAGCATGCCTGCGCAGGGAAGGTTAAATTGTCCTGTTGGTGGCTGCTGACGCTGCACAGTGAGGGAGTGAGACAGGCAGGGAGCCTGCCAAGACAACCAACTGCTGCACAGATAGGCCGCAGGGAACAAGAGGCTGCACTCATGAGTAGTGGCCCCCCTCCTGACCAGCTCCCCCAGGACTGTAAGGCATCTCCCTTCCCCCATCCCCACCCCCAACATAAAAACAGCCATATTGGGTCAGACCAAAGGTCCATCTAACCCAGTATCCTATCTTCTGACAAGGGCCAATCCCAGATGCTTCAGAGGAAATGAATGGAAGGGGCAATCACTACTGATCCATGCCAAGTCATCCACTCCCAGCTTCTGGCAGTCAGAGGCTAGGGACACCCAGAGCATGGGATTGCATCCTTGACCATTTTGGCTAATAGCCATTGACAGACCTATCCTCCACAAATTTATCTAATGCTTTTTTTAACCTCGTTATAGTTCACAATATCCCCTGGCAACAAGTTCCACAGTTTGATTGTGTGTTATGTGAAGAAGTAATTCCTTTTGTTTATTTTAAACCATAAGTGCCCCTGTGAATAGCTGGGCCTGGAAACCCCCTCCCCGTGCCTGCTCCTCCCCATGAGTGCCCGGGCACTCCCTTTCCCTGTAATAGCCCCTGTGAGTAGGTAGGCCCAGGAATGCATCACCACCTGGAGAGGAGCCCCAAGCCACAGAGTCCCTTCCACTTCATTTGCCAGACATAGCCTGCTCCTGCCCCTGCCCCTGGGCCAGGAACAGGTCACTCCAATCCCCCTGTGGTCTGGTGGAGCAGAGCTGAGGAACTCATGATGCAAGGAGAGTAGTGGCAACCCCCCCTGCTGCTGGTAAGGTCTGTATATCGGTGTCAGGCAACCAGCAGGAGGGCAGGCTAGCCTAGTGATTGGAAAAAGTCTCAAGCCTAGTGGTCAGGCATCAGGACCAATGTTAGACCCTGGGACTAGGGTCAGAGGCAGAGGCAGAAGCTGGAGCCATGAGTCAAACCAGAGGTCAGAAGCTGGAGGAAGCAGGAAAGCAGGCAGAGAGGTTCAAGGTAGTGGCAGGATCGAGGCAAGGCAGGAAGATACTACAGAAGCAGTCACACTGACAGCCATGAGCATTGAGCAGCCAGCGAACTGCTATTGGCCTAAAAGCTGGCCTACTGGCTTCTCCAGCCAAACAGGGAATGGGGCCAGTCAGGCAGCCTGCTGCAGCCCAGCTGTACTGATGAGGTTGCCTAGAGACTAGCTCTGCTGCAGGCCCTGATTGCTGACATTCAGTGACCAGAATCTGCTCTCTCCTGGCACCCAGCCCCTGTGCCCCTAGCTGTGACAGGAAAGATGATGATTTTGGGATGGGGTTTTGTTCAAGTACTATTTTTGGAAGAAGCTTCCCTGAGATACAGTGAAGATCCCATTTCATGCTAAAATGGGTTGAAAATGAAAAACTGCATCTGAATGTCTATACCGCAATTAAACAGACTCTTAGCCGGAGTCAACTGACATGGGCCAGCTATGGGTGTTTAACTGCAATGTAGACATACCTCAAGAGGCTTCAGTGACTTAAAGCACAGCATCTGTAAGCTGTACTTCCGACCACATCATATTTTAAGTGTCCTTGCAGTTTTCCTTTTACATTTTTCGAAGTATTAAAATAAGATGCCTAAACAAATAGTGTGTTTAAGATCTAACAGACATTTAATGGCCATCAAAAAATTGGCCATCTTATTTCAGTGTAGTGAAGTATATATATGCTCCACTTCAAGTGAGATGAGGTTACAACAAATGCCTGTACTCCCATTCCATATCACTTCATCTCAATTAACTAATGTCCATAGCACAGTCAATATCTGAGAAGACTAACAATCATCATGGTCTATGTGGCATTCCCAGAGCTATTTAAAATTCAAGACAAATTAAGGCAAACTGGTACTATATCTGTACTTTTCTATATCCAATAGAAAGTTCTTGTTATTACTTACATTTGGGGTCTTTAGACAAGATCTAAATTGTGACCTTTCTTCCAAAAGAACTTCTCCCAGATTGAGCTCTGTTCCAAAGATGCAACTCTTTCTACCATATCAAACCAACATGAGGTTTGGTACCTCAATGTTCAATAAGCACAAATTATAGTACTAACTGGGGCAATTGCTAAATAATATCTTACTAACTTTGAGTTCAGCACAGTGTCATCTACTACACAATTAATTAAATGCATATACTTTAAAATAGTCTAATATAATTTGTACTAAATTTTTAAAAAGTTGTACGGAGTTCTGAAATCTGGACAAATCTTGTAATTTCAGTATGAATGTGGCTCACCTCGTCTTACCCTTTCATTATACATCAGTTTGTTCAACATGCAAGCTAGCTAAAGCAAAATTCATCAAGAGAATAAAACATAGTTCAATTAGATTCGCCTTTCAAATTTAAAACAAATGACAGCATAATCTAGCACAGAACCCAGGGCATGCAACTCCTAGTTCTATGCCTGGTTTGCCACAGACTTGCTGTGTGGCCTTGGATAAATCACTTAATCTCCCTCTCTATTTTCTCATCTGTAAAATAGGGATAATTATATACTGTGTTCTCTTTTTGAGAGAAGGACCATTAGGATTAATTAGCTAATATATAATATCTGTGCTATTATATAAATTGACCTTAAGGTTTTGCACTCCTACTTGGTTCTTTTCACCACATAATTTTGCCAATCAGTAGCATCCGAAGCTTAAAATTCATGCCTCTAGCTTGCTGAAAAAGCAGAAATAAAATTTCAAGAAATTGTTGTGATTGCCCCCTCTTTTCCAACTGTAATTCCCACAAAATAAATCATCAAAATTTTTTAAAAATTGAGCAGCACTATTCATTTCTAATAGAAATTGCTAGGTAATACTTACAGTATACAGTGTCATACATGAATGATACTTTATAACCACATAGTGTACTTGAACATAATCTGCAGCGGAATAGCTCACAACATAATATGGACAGATGGAAAACAAACAAAAAGGAGAAGTACAAGGTAGGCAGTTTGCAGAATCTTAGACAATTAAGGGAAGGCTGAGTGAAAAGTGGGTTTCAAGCCGAGATTTTGGAGTGTAGAATGGTTGCCACACTGGAGGATGTTTGTTCTAAGCATAGAGAGCAGCATGATAAAAAGTCAGACTTTCAAAGGTCAAAAAATTAAAACTCAGTATCTGCTATGAAAATATAACATAACACTCTGCACAAGGATCATTTTGATACTATGTACTGTCAACAAAACAGGGCTATTTACCATAAAAGGGGAAATATAACAATCACTGGAAAAAGCAATTGATCTGCAATCAATTATTTTCTATAATTTACGGTGGGCTTTGTTTTTCTAAATGTTTGTTACCTTTGCATGATCAATGCGACTAGAAAGTTCTTTAGATGCAAATCCACCAAAAATGAGGCTATGTATGGCTCCTATTCTTGCGCATGCCAGCATGGTATACATTGTCTGTGGAATCATGGGCATGTAGATGACAACACAATCTCCTTTCTTCACACCGTATTTCACCATAACATCAGCTAACTTGGAGACCTGTATAGGCAAAATTTTCAGGTTAATGATAAAGAGATGTATAAAGCAAGCACCTCAATAAACAGATTAATTGCTTTTCCAGTTTAGGTGGCATCTCACAAAAAGGAACACAGTCAATATTAGACAATAATTGGACAACATACTTGACCATTTTATCATTGATCTTGCCATGAATCACTGGTACAGATTACTTAAAAATTAATGCTGCTTTTCACTTTAAGCCACAGGAATGCTACATAAAATTAAAGATCCAATACAAGGTCAATGAATTTAGTCCAGATGAGAAAAAAAAATAGAGAATGCAGCAGCATCTTCTGTAAAGATGAAAAAACTGATCAAAAATATTGGCATACAGCAAAGAAAAAACACTAAGAGAAAAGATTTTTCAAATATTCGAGTGATTTCATTTTAATTAGCTACTCATATTGCTGTTACAATTAACTAAAAAAATTCTATGTGAGACATACAAAATAAGACCATGTTTGGAGGCCAGGTTTATTTTACTAAACTAAACTAATATGAAAAAAGCCAGGAAAGTATTGTTCATAATTGTTCATAATCCAAGTTTCATTAAAACGTAGCAAAGTGGGGGCACAAGTCAATAGAGAAGATGCCAAATATTTTCCCAATATTCTGTATTCTCTAATTTCTAAATCCTTTGGATAAGAGTTCTTCCACATTGTGTCTGTCCCAACATCCTGGTGATCCATTTAATTTCAGAGATCACTTTTTCCTCCCACCTCCAGATTATTTAGACATGTAGACAGGTTTAACAGACCGAGCATCAGACTGAAAGTCAGGCACTCCTGAAATTTAATTCTGACCCTGCCAGTGACTTGTACGTTCATGAGCAAATTATTTACCCTCGTGAGGCACGTAGTTAGTACTGAGAGGTTATAGTAAGGATTTATTAATGTTTACACAATTCTTTGTACAGTATAAAAGAAACCACTAAGTGTTAGGGATTCATTATCCACAGCTACAAGGTCGCTGAGGATAATTCATATAATATGCTAACCAGAAACAGGTAGGCATCTTTTCTTGGTTTATTGTTTTTTAATTATTTTGGGGGGGTTAACTTTAGTGGTTAACTTGAAATAAATGTCTCCATCATTCTAGATATAACTAATTCCACACCATTAATACACTGTGAAAATTGGAGATGCACTATTGAAGAGAAATGCTGTCGTTGGCACTGATAAATGTATGACAACTGGTAAGAACATAAGAATGGCCATATTTGGTCAGACCAATGGTCCATCTAACCCAGTATCTTGTTTTCCAACCACAGCCACTGCCAGATGCTTCAAAGAAACAGGGCAATTATCCAATGATCCATCTCCTGTCATCCAGTCCCAGCTTCCAGCAGTCAAGAGGTTTAGGGACAACCACAGCATGAGGATGAGTCCCCTAATCATTGTGGCTAATAACCATTGATGGAACTATCCTCCACGAACTGATCTAATTCTTTTTTTAAACCAGTTATATTTGCAGCCTTCACAATATCCCCTGCAATGAGTACTACAAGTTGACTATGTATTGTGTGAAGTACTTCCTTTTTGTTTGTTTTAAATCTGCTGCCTACTAATTTCATTAACTGATCCTTGGTTCTTGTGCCTTGCAAAGTGGTAAGCATCACTACCCTATTCACTTTCTCTACAGAATTCATGATTTTATAGATATCATATCCCCCCCCCCTCTTAATCATCTCTTTTCAATGTTGAACAGTCCCAGCCTTTTTTAATCTCTCCTCACGGAAGCTGTTCCATACACCTAATCATTGTTGTTGCCCTTCTCTGTACCTTTTCCAATTCTAATATTTTTGAGATGGGGAGACGAGAACTGCCTGTAGTATTCAAGGTGTGCATGTACCATAGACTTATATGGAGGCCTTATAATATTTTCTGTCTTATCTATCCCTCTCCTAATGATTCCGAACACTGTGAGCTTTTTTGACCGTTACCACACATTTTCAGGAGAACTACGCATGACGACTCCAAGATCTTTCTTGAGTGGTAACAGCTAATTTAGTTGTGATTATGTTTTCCAATGTGCATTATTTTGCATTTACCAACTCTGAATTTCACCTGCCATTTTGCTAGCCAAATAATCTGGTATTCACAGAAGATTTTAGGTGGGACTCTTGGGAAAAGTAATTATAGGTGGAGTTATCTAATACTTTCCATTATAAGACCACGTTTTTAGTTGCTTACAACTCTGCCAAACTGTAACTGTAAAACAGGGATAATACCACCAACTCATCTCACAGGGGTTTTGTGAAGATTAATCCTTGTAATCAATGCTTGAGAAGCACTCATTCTATGGGAATGAGCATAATAAAGAAGCCCAAGCAGTAATTAATGACATTTAATTAATAATTCTGTATTCAGTGCGCAGGTTAGGTGGTATGCAGTACATAAATATGGGGCTACACACTGAATGAGGATAAAAAGAAATATCAACTAATTATCCAATTAGTAAGCAGGATGCATCCTGAAGTAGGAGTTCTGTGCAAAATAAAGCTTGTGATCTTGTCATTAAAGACTATCATAATGCACACACAAGCTTAATTCCAGCATTTCCTACCTTTTGAATGCTTGACTTTTCAGCCTTAGAAGTCTTTCAACATAGGTTTTTATATGTAAAAAAAAATTACAATCTAGACACTTCTGGACCTTTATTGAAGCATTGTAAAGCACAAACCTATGAGGAGGAGAAGGGGGCATGTCGTAGCAGGAATCCCACCATATTTGCCACATGTACCCAGTTATGTTTGGTCTGCACCTTCTGGAGAGATGACTGTCACTGAAGACAGAAGACTAGTACAGTACCTTTTTGCCTAAGCCATACTATGCTGGTCCCGGAGCTGTTGCACAGCAGCACAACTGTGAGAATACTCTTTGCACCCTCTCTCTCACCCCACCCCTCTCCCCCACAAACACAGCCACAGAAGCATTGTACTCGACTGTAGAAGCCTAGAAAAATGCAGAACACTATGGAGCAGGCTTATTTGGCTCTGAAGATTGATATGGCAATTCTGAAACATTCAAGCAATCACTCTGTTTAAAAGAAAAAAAATAACTGGATAAAATGACATTTTCATTTCTTGGTTAAAAGTTCTGAAGAAGTTTTCCCATATCCTTTTTATCTCAGATTTGTTTGATGCTTCATGCAGGGAAAGCTTAAATTGTAAGAATGAGCTCTCCAGTCCTAATCTGGATTCACTCTGAATATGAACACTGGACTATAACATATGGACCAATTCTGAAAGAACTCTTTGCAACTATGAAGCTCATCATCTCTATTATGAATCTAATCTTAGAACTGTACTCATATCTATAAGTATACTGATCTTTTAACCAATACTCACTCTTTTTTTTAATAAATTTTAGTTTAGTTAATAAGAATTGGCTGTAAGCATGTATTTGGGTAAGATCTGAAATATTCATTAACCTGGGAGGTAATGTATCCAATCCTTTGGGATTGGTAGAAATTTCTTATACGATGAACAAGATGTTCAGTAATCCTCATCATATTTGACTTGGGCATCTGGATGGAGACCTAAGGCTGGGTTACTTTAAGGGAACTATGTTGTTGGCTTCTGGGTAACCAGAGAGGTATTATAAAAGCTGTTTTGTGCTGTCTTAGAAAATCTAAGTATTGGAATATCCACCAGCTTTGGGATTGTCTGCCCCATTCTTTGCAGTTTGCCCTAATTGAGTGACCTCAGTTGGCTCCCCAGGACTCTGGTCACACCCTCCTGGAAGTGGTGAAATAGTGGTGAAATACTGGGTTTTGTCAAGATCCGCTGTAGGCACTGTGCTAGTTGCTCCTTTCTTGCGGGGGAGGGGGAGGCTGGGAAGGAAATTTTTTCCTCACTACCAGATTGGCCAAGGCAAAGTGGGGGTTTTATGCCTTCCCCACAGTGGATTCTGGGGGGCTTAGTGGGGTGAACATAAAACTGGAATTTGATGCAAGTAAATATGATGTTGCAACCCAGGGCAGATATCCAGAGCAGGTACATAGAGGAGGCACACGGTGATCAAATAAAATGGATTGGTAAAGGATTTAAAGGCAGTATTCTTTAAAGGAGCTGAAACAGGGAGGAGGGGGTTGGGGGCTACTATGACTGGTATTCAGGGCCCCAATCCCCCTGAACCCTCATTTGAGTTGGGAGGGGAGAGATGGTGAGGTCACAGCAGCAAGTTGGCTAGGGGCCAGGATGGCTAAGCAGAAGGGCCCATGGAAGCCCCCGGCTATATACTGAAATGATTATGGAATTACCTGCACTATCAACTTATCTGTGGGGTACTGCCAAACATTTAAAAATAAAGTCCGGACCTAATTAAAACCACATCCAGTTTCTCCTATCCTTCTTCAGGCTTAGCCAGACAATGCAGTTTAGTTGATGTCCTAAAGATTAGGAAATAAAACCTGAACAGAAGCAGCAAGTTTTATATTTCTTCAAGGCATCACTCAATTTTTAACATCAAGACAGCGACACTATGAATAAGGCCAGTTTCTAGTGGCACTTTTATCTCTCCCTTATCTTTTTTTTTTTCTTCTTCCTATCAGTGCTTTAATACTGGGCAGATATTTTTGACTCAGCTTCTAACACTCATGAGATAAAACTTCTTGTCTTCATTTCCTCATAATCTCTCCTCCATTTCCATCCCTCTCTCTTTTTTGATTCAAGACTCTCAATCTCAGTATAAAAATATTCAACTGTTTAATCCATTAATCTTTCCATAGCGAGGCTCTTACCAAATCTTTTTACTAGATACTAAAATCTTTAGTCTATGGTGCTGGCATCTGTCACTTTAATGACAAGTCACCTTCCAAAATAGGCTTTAAGGGGCTCCCACTGGTTATTACATCTTGCTACTGCTTGGCCGAGACTGAGCCACCCTGTTTCACCTTGTCTTGTTAGTTGAAGCTCGTCTGCATCACACCAGTGCTGATATTGCTTGTACTCCTCTTTTCGTTTTGTGCTACCATTA